CTATCGACACTGTTGAGGCTGATTTGCGTAAATTTAAACTTGCCGATTTGATTTTTTTATATTTTTGAGTGGCAATTCCTGGTTTCCTTAGTCTAGATCCTGGTCTAGATAAAATCATCAACCAACTAGTCAGTTTTGTGAAAAATGATACCCTATTCTAGACCCAAACACTCTGATTTATATACCCTATCCTAGAGTAAACTGCTGGAATACCATACCCTTAACAGCAACACATACCTATATAGCTCATATATGGCAGTGCCCACCCGGGCCAGTGGCCCAGGGCAGGGAGGGGAGTCCCCTATAAAAATGATGGGGATACACCCACAAAACAAGTCTGGAACCTTCTAGGATTTCTCTCAAAACATTCTGACATTATATGTGGAAAATAATCAGTTTACAAACTATTATAAAGTTATACTAAAGAATATAAGCTACAAAAATCAACTGGAATTGTATGATTGCTGTGTGGGAGCCCACAGCCTGTGTGGAGGGGGGTGGGGAGGAGGGGGGGAGACAGATGATATACCACCACATTCTGAAAACTTAAGAAGTACATGCACATGGAAAACAGTTTTATTATCAGTTTGAACTTGAGACTAAAACTATTCCAGTTGTCTTTTTGATAACTGATAAAATTATATTGGGTAAAAACACAATTGCTAGTGTCCCACTGTAGTTTACAGTGTGGCTCTCACTAAGCAAGGGTATATGGACCTTATTTACATGGATGTAGTACATATACTGGAAATCCAGAAAAGTAATTGAATATTATTGGCTCACTGTCAAAAGTGTCATTAATGATTAAATTGGCTAGTTTGATGGTCCCCAGAGTCTCCCATTTAACCTACCAACAAATTTATAAAAATTATTACTCAACATGTAAAGAACATAAGTTACTAAATATTCAACGCTTTTCCATGTTTTGATGTATGAAACTGTTGCCTCTAGGGTAAAGAGCCAAATGGAAGTGACAATGAGAGTGATGATGACGATATCCCTCAGTTATCGGCACATGCCTTGGCAGCTTTGCAGGAATTTTATGATGAACAGAAAACTTTAGCATCAGAAGAAAAAACCCTTAAAATAGATGAGGACTGGGTACGTTATATCAGATAGAAGACCAGGTATAGGTCTGCGTCAGGCCAATGGCCCATACTGCAAGAGCTTATTCCAGTTTCTGTAGCATGCAGTGACTAGGAGTATTACTACTCCCCCCTGAATGGGATGCTTGGCCATCCCAGAGTTACGCCCCCCCCCCAGCATTAAATTGCCGGTACTCATTTGTACACATGGATGGTGAGAGGCACTGTGAGAGTAAAGCATCCTGCCCAAGAACACAATGCAATGCTGGCCAGTGCTTGAACCTGGACCACTTGATCTGGTGCACTCACGTCAACTATTAGGCTAATGGAGGTTAACCCTGGAATAGAGGAAAAAAATTCATCATCATCATCAGTCCTCATCACACCATCGGATGGATAAGGCCTTCACAGTCTCTCTTCAGTGCAAACAAACAGAGGTACAGAGGAATAGAGGAAAAAATTACAGAAGGAATAACTCTCTTACAGTTTGTCACTGACAACTAAAAATTCCCTCTGTCATAAATGGCTAAACAAATCCAGACTAATGAAGAAGCATTATCAACCAGACAAGTAAAGAGGATAACAATAAAAAGGAAATCATCAACCACCAGATTAAAAATGTTTAATTAATATGTATACCATAAAATTCTCAGAACTCACCTTGAAAGAAATGTATGGTTACTGTAAGGAGAATTAAATCTCTGAACTTCATTCTTAAAGGGTTTAAAAAAAAAACAGTTAAAAAATTTTTAATTATTAAAAACAATTGTTTTATTATTCTTCTAGCAACTCAGCCAGTTTTGGTATGATGACAACACAGCTTCTGTTTTGGCAGAAGAAGCTCTAAGAGCATCAAGCAATGGCAGGTGAGGAAATTGCCCAGGGAGGGGCACAGCTTGTCCCCTTGTTTAGGGGTGAAAACTGAAGGATTGCCAAACACCATTATTTTTAGCTATCAAAGTATCTTTTAGGGTGTACTCAAAGAAGTAACAATAAAACGCTCTCATTTCCATTTTTAGGCTCGATTTCCGCTGGTCTCCAGTCCTGTCTACTGGCACGGGCTCCCTTCCTGAACAGTGGCTTTGGATCGAGCCTTCCATTTTAATTTTTATCTTTTAGGGGTCAGGTTAAGCTCAGGTCACCCCAGATCGGTCTAGGGGTTTAATTCAAATTTTCCAATGAGCATCCCTGACCTTTTTGTATGTGAGTCATGGCCCCCCTCCCTTTGGGAAATTTTCAGTTAGGTTGGTGACAATATTAATAACAGACAGCTGTCAAATCCAGCACACTATTTAATCTTGATCCTCCACCTAATTCTCAGAACTGCCATTAAAAGAAGTGTTTCTTAATCAGTAAAGAGATAAACAATGTTGGTCATTCTACAATGTTCTTCTGTTTCCAGAATAGCTTGCCTTTGCACACCAACTTTGTACAAGAAATTACTGAGCACCAAGCCTGAAGGATGTGAAGCAAAAATATTTGAATACGACAGACGATTTTCTGTGTTTGGTGAAGATTTTATATTCTATGATTACAAGAAACCGCTTGACTTACCAGCTTCCATCACTGAACACTCCTTTGATCTGGTGTTCGCCGATCCTCCTTTCCTTTCAGAAGAATGTCTGGCAAAAACTGCTGAGACAATAAAATATCTTGGCAAGGAAAAAATAATTCTTTGCACTGGTAAGGACAATTTGTTTCCGGCTCAGTGAATCATTGAGTCAGTTGCTGAGATGATTAACTCCATGATTCATGGCAGGCAGTCACTAGAGGAGTATGCTTCTCCCCTTAGATGGAATGCTATGTCATTGCTGAGCAGCTTCTCCACCCCCCCCCCCCCCCCACCTGCCTTTATTGTTAAGTTACCTCAATTGTACATTTTTATGTAGTAAACAACTCCATGTAGAGAATGATAGTGAATGTATTGTCCAAGGCCATTGCTCTTGAAGAACACAACATTAGGCTAAATAAGAAATCTAGGACACTAGCCATCTTACAAATTCACACCAGGGAGTTTTACCTTAACCAATGGTTGGAAAGCAAACTAGACTATAATTTTCCAAAATTTCAGTTGGTTTGAGGAACTCCTGTTGTCCCCAGTTAGTATGAACTGTCAGAAAATTTCATACTATTTGTTCTTCTCTCCTATATATCCAGTCTCTAGTGTTATAAATTATTATTATTGGTACATTCTGTTACTTTGGATGGGTTTCATGATGTTGGAAAAACACTAACCATTATACCAACCACTTTTCTTGGCAAATGGTGAACACCCCTGACTCCTAATTTCCTTACACCATGCTTTTTTTCTCTTCACTTTAGGGGAAGTTATGGAAGACCTAGCATTCAAGCTACTCAGAGTAACACCTAGTACATTCCAGCCAACACATGCTAGGAATCTGGGAAACAAATTTGCTTGTTTTGTAAATTATGATAGTGACCTTAATAAATGACAAAAACTGTCAGTAGATAATGCCAAGCTCATTGATGAATACTGCTATTTATACCATGGCACAGAAAAGTATAGCCATTCAGAATATAGGAAAGCCATTGTATATTTGACAGTCTTACATCAAACCTTCCCATCATGTGCTGTGTATATGTCGCACTGATTGTGCTGGCCACTGTATTTTCTATAGCAAGGTATAAAATAGTTATGAACACCATCTTATGGTATAACCATGGAATATCTTACTTGTCAGTTGTATTTTCCTGGTATATCCACAAGTTTTTAGGCAAACTTATGTGTATAATGAGAAAATACAAGTGACTTGTGGGATGTTCCATGGTATACCACTCAAAAACGTTGCATAACTAGTATATACTAGTATAGATATGAATTATTTCATATATACTATACATCACTAGTATATACTGTCGGAAAGATCCCAAGCTAATTGTTTCCCATCAAAGTAAGTTATGCAACACAAGGAAAAGCAACTTAAATTAAATATTTGGTCTAAAATAGTTTATTTTACAATTGCTTTCAAAATAGAGAAGCAGCAGTGAAAATAACGATCATAACTAATTTTCATACAAGGCAATGTTTGATGTGTTAAGAGGATGTATACAAATTCAGGCAGTCTATCTAGTATATATTTGGATGTAATTTTAACTTGATGTGAATTATCCTTTATGAAAATATCTAATTTACATTTTGTTGAAAGCTGAAAGAGCTCTTAAAAGTAGTGACCCTCTAAATGTACAAATTTTATGGTCATTAGCAAACCCCACAAGTAGTGACACAGAAAGTAACAAACATTGCAAAGTAGCAGTCATCGGAAAGAAGAGACCTCAAAGTTAATTGGACTTGAGAAAAACTGGAAATAACGGATACGAGACACTGATCCAAAATGATCTTACATAGTTTGATTCACATAACTCATTGTTAACTAATGGTAATGTTTCTCTTTTTGGTGTATTTGATGGCTTGGCCCACTTATGGTACAAAATTTAGCTGCACAATAGTAGAGATTGGACCCTGGAAAGTTACAACCCTCTGGAAGTAGTCACTGGAACGGGCTGGTAAATCCAAAAGTTGCGAAGGCCATTACGGTCAGAAATTTGGGAGAAGCATTTTCTAGTTAAGGTGGTTTAAGTACTGCATATTGTTTTAGACTGTACATAATTGGTACTTGTTGTTGCAGCAACAACTTTTAGCACATGAATCACAGGCCTATCAATTCAATTTAATTTTTGCACACAAACTTTGATGAGTCTTGAAATCAATTTACTGTTTATTTGAATTTAAATTTATACAAATGTCCACTTTTGTTAATAATAAAGAATAAAGAAAATAGCTTACCTACATATTTGTAAAACAGTTGTAACAGCCAAATCAAGAGAGTTCCCTTGCTACCTTTTTTAAAAAAATACCTGTCCTGCTTTTGCCTGATAATACTAGGATTGGTGTTGTCTTTGTTGAAAATAGTCAGAAAATTGAAGACCTGAGTACAAAATGAGGTACACATGCAAATATTTTGGGGACAAAAACACTTTTCCCATTTGAAGGGTTGACTGGAAAAAGACCCTACATGACATCTGATAGATGACGAGATTCCCTTCACAAATTGCTTTCTGCTTCCTTCTACGAAAAAAGGAGGATTTGAAATGAGATCAAGAGTCATTTAGGGCTTTTTTCCACACACCTTATGCATAGGATTACCTGTGATACCAACATGAAGTGTGTTTCTGAAAAGAGTATTTGCATTTGAAACCGTCTTGGTCAGAGGAAGAAGAAACCTTAAAGCTCTAGTGAAATCCCATCTCCAAGAACTGATTTGAATCTGCAGTATTTATTGCCAAAGTTGCAAAAGTATCCAGCCTCATTGTGGCTTGTGGCACTGACAGTTTTGGAGTACATGTATCTGTACCAAAAATGGTGACTGTATGAATATCATCGTCGTAAATGTAGTAGTTACTGATTCAAGTTATGAGATGTCTATCCTCCCAAATTATGCAATGTTAACTGTACAGTAATACACTCAAGTAGTAAAAGCTATGAACATTATTAATAATATAATAATTATAACAAAAGTGATCATCTGATGACGAGATCTTTGACAATAAAAATAGCTTCACAGTCACTTCCACTTAACAAGTGTCTTGATTGAATATCCAACGAATTGATTGACAGTCTGTTATAAGGAAGTAGTGAAAATGTCTCCATTTTATGTTTTGTCGCGTCCACTGATAGCCAAGGGCTTATGCTGTCATATCCTCCACCCACGCCCGCACCATTACTAATTCCACTGAAGTGACTTTTACTGGCACCTGCAAACCCTGTGATGTTTTGGACTGCCACAGATGTACCATCCCAGTGCCAAAGAGATCCATCTTCTGAACATGTGAATAGGTTGTCTGGACTAAGAGGATGAAACCTGACCTCCCATACTGTTAAAAAAATAAACAAAACAGAGAATTCACAGCTATGAACTGCTATTTTACAGCTTTAATAGTTAAAAGGACATGCCAATCCACTCACTATCGCCTCATGGATCCACAGCGTCATGCTATGACGAAATTCATGATCAATAACAGGAAAGATGCATGAAAAACTGACATCAATTTGTTAAATATCAAATTAGAGGAGGCAACAAAAATCATGGATCTGGGTAAAACAGTGTTGAAATCTAGCACCCTTATGATGAGTCACCAAGTCTCGTCTTTTCTGAGTTTCATTCATCTCTTTTGACCTTGGATTTTCAAATGAGGATCTTTGGTGAAAATTTCGTAGTCAAAGGTTTTAATAAAAGCACAATTTTTTCCCTAAACTTTCTTTTTTCTCCATAATTCTGCCCAATTGTATTCAGTATTCAGCAAACATGGAAATTAGGAAACAGGAGATTCGATAACCAGCTGGGACACTGTCCTTGAATAATAATTTCCTGTTCATTTCAAGATTAGACCCACCTGACCCAGGGCTACTTTTTTCATAAATATACTTAAAGACATTCGCGTGAAAAGTTTCCAACATTGATTTTTTTCTGAGACTTTTACCACTGTAAGATGATGAGTTACTTATGTCAGAAATGTAAAAAAAAAAAATGGGGAGTCACCGACTTCGTTTTGGAGAGAACATGCCCGGAAGAACACCCTAAATCTGAAAAAAAATCGGACAAAATATTGTAATTAGATCTTTGAAGTGAAATGTTCTCTGGCAAATATCGTTTAAGTGGATCTATTGCGTGAATTTAGTCAACTGGTGAGGTTCCTTAAAGAACAAGTTCGCATTTAGAGACCATAGTTTTATGCACCTTGCAGCCGCAAGATGCTAGGATTCGATGTCCTATGGACAGAAATCTTGAATTCTTTTTAACTTCCAACATTGATTTTTTGTTCTTTTTTGGACAATGTGGAGATAATTGTAAATAAAATCTGTTTCTGGAAAGAAAAGTAGGGGTCACCGAACGTCACCGAATGTCCAAGATCGTAGAATCCAAGCAAAGCTATAGGATGTGCAGAAACAATTAGCGTGAACATCCTTAAATTACAATGATATCACACATCTCAAGGCCTACAAGGACCAGATTTAATTTTCATGGCCTTAAACTTTTTTTTAAACTTCTGTTCAATTTATTTCAAGGTGCATATCAAGTCAGTAACAGCTTATAGGTCCAGCATATTGATCACAGAATTCATTGACCATAAAGTAGAACACAGCACTTGTCTTACTTTCTGCGGCATGTGCCTCCAGTAGTGTGACAGGATACAGTTCCTGTCTCATGTCCCAGATGCTCAGTACACCATCTTGACCTCCTGCTGCCAGTAGATGTGGCTGGGTCGGATGTTTGTCAACGCACAACAATGAGACACGATTACCAGAACTGCCCAAAAAATAACACCGTCACAGAGTTGCTTAGTACATTTCTTTGCATACTTAGGAAATTATTTCAATCTACTTTTTTGCCAATTAAAGTTTAATTCTTGGTAAGTAAGTGTACCAAGGCTTGGACAATCGGAATGAAGTTTTGTTTTAGGTAGGCCATACCATGGGATTTAAGAACATGAAAGCTTCTGATGCGTCTATCAGAGCTCAAATAAATACAATGTACATGTATGTGTATATAAAACTGGATTTATGAAAAGGCATTAATGAAAAGTGCATTCCATGAACCAAATGAGCTACCCAGTTTGATTTCCCTTTCGGATGTTAATATATATATTCTATGAACCTGCACTCAGCACTTACAGTAGCATTGTTCTTCCAGGTTTATCAATTGGTTGTCGAAGATCCCAAACTTTGAGCTGACCACCGAATGTTACTGCAGCTACTTCATGCAATTTTGTAAATTTGATACTGTTTATGGTTGTGCTATCTGCAGAATCTAGGAACAAACCAAATAAAAAATGACCATTATTTTAATAAATTTATAATGCTAAGAAAATCTTGGATAAAATTTTGGACTAGCAAACTTGTATATAGAAAAAAACAAAGCACAAAAACAAGGTTAAATGGATATGATTCCCTTCTTACCTATTGTTCTGACTGGATGTCTATGATCAAGTTTCAGAACATTGATTTTTCCATCTTCACCAGCGCTTACAATTTCTGCTGAGCTAGCATTTGTGGAAAGACACGTACATGAACAGCTGCGATCCCCAATGTGATGAAGAGTATTCCACTCATGCTCAGGTCTTATGGACTGAAATTAGAATTATTCTTATATGTTATTCACCAAGTACGAGGGCTGTACTGGGAAATACGGTAGAAATACAGTAGAGCCCCGATATCGGGAGTTCCTGAGTTATTGGGGGTTGAGAGCAGATGACCGGAAATAACAAAAAAGGGTGTTAACTGTAGTTCTATTCATACTGTGTACATTTTTATCAAATTTAATTACAGAGAAGTCTCAGGGCTCGACTTTCAGAAAAAAACCTTGGAGTAGCTGGCCCCTAGTTTTGAGGGTCCCCAATAGGTTTGGCGGGATGTTGGATTTGGCTTTTTTTCGCCTTGATATTCAGGATTTGAGCTGAAAACAGGGGAGGGAAGCAGGAATTACAATCACGAGCGGGAGTGGGATTTAGTGTTTTATGGGCTTGGGATGTGGGATTCACAAGGGGAACAGAGCGGGATACGGGATTTCAATTCTTATGTGACCTCATAAATTGACCAGCGCAAAAGCCGCAAGTTGGGCAGAAATGAACCTTTTGTGCGTATAGCTGTGTCAGGTTTCAAGTAATGTATAGCAATTGTCAGATTCTGTCAAACGTATCCATTATCGCTTGACTACGTTAGTATCATGAGACTGTATGAGGTCTTTGAGTCCTTTTGCGATCCTTTGACATGAATGACATCTGTCCATTTCCCACATCTTCAACGCTTGCGAATGTAATCTTGACCCCCCTCCCCCGATCCTTTCTAGTTTTCCTAGTCTTTCGACCTTTTCTAGAGCGCTTGTCTTGTTTTGGCCAGGATGGCCACATTAAATGGCGGTGACAATGATTAACCGAACGAAGTATGAGACATTAAACATATTGCTTGGCCATATATTACAAAAAGGATGTGCGAGTAGGAATGCCTTCATTTGGAAAGAAAAGCTCTGAGCCCGGATTTCAAGGAAAGTGAAGACCCTGAAAGCTTTGAAAGAAACTATCAGGTGTATTTACTGGCCATGTCTTGAATATGGGAATGTAAAATCTTTTTCTTTCAATGATACGTGGACAAAAGAAAACAAAACGGTAAACAGTTTACAGAAAGAAATGTTATAATCATTAATTTTGTGCTTACTTATCTGCTACCCATTGAATCCTTTTGTGATATCTTATGCGATATCTATTTTTAAAAAGTCTCTGTGTTAATAATTAAATTAATTATTAATTTAACAAATTAATAATTAAAGCAGAAGCGTCTTTAAAAAGTAGGCGGGATCAGGATTTCCAGGCAAAAAAGGCGGGATAGCGGGATTAACAGGAAAAAATGGGCCGGAAAGTGGGATCTGAGAACCCTATTGTGGACCCTCTAGTTTTCAGATTTCGCCACCAGCACAAGTATTTCAGTGAAAAGTGTGAGAAGTAAGTCGGCAGTGAAAAAATTTGGTCATGAAAATAGAACAATACACTTCTAAATTACTGTATAAATCAGAACATAAACAATGTCACATGAAGCAACAGGAAAAGTCCAGGTACTGCAAACTTTGCAGGTTTCAAAGAGAACAACATCAGGCTACTGCTACAGAATTCATGCAATTTACTTTTTCAAGAAATAGTTTCAACAATTTGGACTACAGTACTGTTTGCATTGAGCTGTCATGTACTGACAAACATGGTCCAGAAAATGACCCGAAGGAAAACAAAGATTGCCTCAAGTTAGGGGGAGGTTCCAGTCATCAAGGGTGCGAGTTAGCAAGGATAAAATTGCAGTGTACGTATGAGGTTTATCCAGGGGAAATCTACTATGGTTTGAGCTAGCCAGGGTTCAAGTTTTTGCAGTCAACTGTCCTGGCACTAGGGTTTGAGTGTACCAATCAAGTGCAGTGGACCCAGGACCAATATTCGCTCAGAGTGGTCCTAAGGAACCTTAGTTAATTCTGAGATAAAGCAGAAATGTTAACAGAGAGTTTTATTTATGCCTGGTTGATGGTGCTATTGCTAAGTTTGAAACTGACTGATCAGTCCTGACCAATGCAAGCCGGTACTAAATCTATAAATTCCATAGTAGTAATACTTGGACAGTAACACTAACCTGGTGTTTTGGGCTATAATGGAACAACGAAACACTTCCTGTAGAAGATGATACCAGGATCTTCCCCGAATCAATGCACTGTCAAATGAAATATTCAGTTAAGGTAAATCACAGGGAGCATACGATCTAGTTGAGTCAGGGATGAGAATAAATAAAAGAATAAAAAGAAAGACTAGTTTACTTTTGTCTCCTGTTGTCATCCTTTACATGAATTTACATGGAAACTGCTAACCACATGTCCAGTAGAACACAAGTGCTCAACTCCTACTTAGGCCTTCGCATTGAAAAAATTTCTTATACAGTCAAACCCTATTAAATGGCCATACCTATTAGGCCGCCAGCAGTCAAAGTCCTGATGAGGGCTTTTCTACTGTTTTTACCTCTATTAAGCATCCAACCCCTTTTAAAGAGCCACTATCTATATTTTCCCCAAGGGTGGCCCTTTAATAGCTGCTTGAACTGTATAAATTATATAAAATTGACAAAGGAGGCAACTCTATATACAAACATTTAGGATGCAGTCCAAAGACCCACTTGAATCTCTAAATTTCTTTGCTTTTAATGAACCCAGACAAACACAAAATGTCATCAAAAATGGTGCAATAGATATACTAAATCCTTTGACAACCAAACTTTTTTCACAAGTGATGACTGATGGCATTCACTTCTTGCATATTAATGGCACCTTGATTACATCTAGGCCCAAACACTTAAAAAGTGATCTTGACCAATATCCAGCCATCTTGACCTCACGCTTGGTCAATCACCCATGTCATGCAAAGAACACCTTATTTACTGATCTGTAAAACTTTGTCTAGCTAGATATTAGTTTATGTCTTATTGTTCAAAACCTTGCCAACTACAACAAATATAAAACTAGGTCTCCCTGAAATAATTTATACAGTGTTAGCGCTTTTGTGACTTACAGATTATCCCTTCAAAGACTGTGAGTTTACTCACTTCATCAGTCGGTAAGTTAATTTTACAAACCTCTATGTCTGTGACATCCCCAGTATAATTAGTTTCACACAACAATTTAGGTTCATTTGTGACATTGAATGCAGCAGCTGAATCTTCACTTGGTTCCTCGACTTTCCAAATGGACAACTTGTTAATCTAACAACGAAATGAGACGAGAAATCTTTACTAAACTTAAGGCTTACTACTTTTTCAATAGCCACGGAAAACGTAACTGTCAGATCGTTAAAGTGTGTTCGTGTTTTACAAGAGTTGTACTCGCCTGGTCGTCCCAGCCTCCTGTCACAAAAGATTCAGAGGGATTCAACTGTCCTTGTACTTGAGGAATCCATCGAACCCTCGATACCTTGTGTCCTACATATTTGGCCACGGTTTCTCCAACATTCGCCATTGCAGAAGATCTACTTTGCACATGGCGCGCAAAGTTACCGAGTGAGTAGTTCCAGTCCCCTGTATAAATCGTGTTAGCTTACATAGTGAGATTGTGACTAAAAAAAAAACACAATAGTTATCGCAGGCTCATTGGATTGAAGAAAATCAAAAATGGCGTCCTTTGAGAAAGCTAAGAAATCTTATCAAAAATTTCACAAAGAAAGGGGGCAGGTAAGGGTAAATGTAATAGAGGAATGCCCTTTTTGATGTCAGAATCTATTGCTGGTGAAAGCATTGTCCTTGAACTCAGCAATATTGTTGAAAAATAGAGTGGATTGAAGCGACACATTCTTATTCTTATTCTTATTCTTACTCTGCTTTTTTCGTTGTATGTACTTAAGGTTAATTACATGGATAAGCGACTAAATGCTTATGCTTCATATAATTTTACAATTTAGATAATAATTTAAACCTTGCCATGTTTTCTTGTCCACTCAGTTGAAAAGCAGGAAGCAGTATGGTCTTCTTGAAAAACACAAAGATTATGTTTTGCGGGCAAGGTAAGAGTCAAAGTAGATAAGAAGCTTGGCAGAACTTTAGATAGCTGTAGAAGGTAGGTAGGTAAGTGTAAGGTCTGTACATCATAAAGATACATCACATGTAAAATTTTCTATTTACTGGTTTACATATTCGCTGTGGCTACATGTCCGGCAGCCGGACAGGTTTCTTAAAATACTCCGTGTCTGGCAGTGAGACTTAGACATTTTTATTTTTTAAGTAAAATAACGTAGAATAGACGATATGATAGGCGACCTCGAGAGGAATCAAACCTGGGTCGACAGCCTGGTAAGCGACACCGATGACTTAAGTATTTATTGAGTTTCCCTTAGCATTATTGAAAGCTAACTGTAAACAGGCTAACCGCAGAGCTATTTAGGCTAACCGGAGTGCTATTCAGGCTAACAGGAGTGCTTTTTAGGTTAACCGGAGTGCTTTTTAGGCTAAACGGAGTGCTTTTTAGGCTAACCAGAGTGCTATTCAAACGTTTTGACTGCCGGTCATTTTATAATAGTCTACATTATAAATCCCGACATATCGCATGCCAGGCTCACCAAAATTAGTATTCAGCCATATAAACAAGGATTTGACATTATTAACTGAAATTTTTAAAAATTAATTTTCATTTGACTGCCGGACACGGAGTATTTTGAAAATCCTGTCCGGCTGCCGGACATAGAGACACAGCGTTACATATTTGCCATGTGGGGGTCGGATACAGAGAACCATTCTCTTGAAGATGTCTAGAGATTTTGTAGTGCGAAGTTCCTCGGGAAGATCATTCCATAGAAAAGGTCCACTTTAACTGAAGCTATGCTTCAGGTAGTCAGTTCTTGGTGTCGGTAGATACAATTTTTGTGTGGTGTCATGAAGATCAAAGGACAAAGTTCTCGGAGTGAATATCTTCCATTGTAGCTGTAGAAACACTTGAGATATTCCTCATTCTCAAAAGCTTCCACTGTGGATTGCACTGAATTCTATGTGTAATCATATGGCACTCAGCAGGATTTATTTGCTAATTGATATATGTGAATGGATATATATCTCTATTTATTGCAGAGATTACCATAGAAAACAAAACAGACTTAAACTTCTAAAAGAGAAAGTGAGTATTTACATGGTTATCAACTCTATTTGTGGTTGTTGTGGACTGTAATTGGTATTTTGTTTGTTTCACAAGTTTAGCATATATACGTGAAAACTTGCCCAGAAGTGATAATAAACTGTTTTACTGTATTTGTACTCTACATTACTTATTTTAGTTTAACTTTCTACGTTTAGGCACTAAACAGGAATCCAGATGAATTTTACTTCAAGATGATCAGCAGTAAAACAAAGGTAAGTATTGCCTGTTATTGTTGTTTTGTATTCGGGTGACTTGCATAGTGAATGAAAACAGTCTGGCAATACGGTTTTGACAGAAACAACCAGTTCAAATAAGGATTTGTTTTATGTTGTACATGCAGGATGGAGTTCATACCTTCAAAAAAACAAAAAAGCACACTGCAGAGGCACTGAAGCTGATGAAAACCCAGGATCTTAATTACATCAATTCTAAAAGGTCTATGGAGGCAAAGGTAATTTGTAAAGAAAATTATCTAAAAAGTTTAATATAACCTTAAGTTCAGTACTCTCTCCTGATTGCAGAATCAGCTATGGACATGTGTGAGTCTTCACCTGTGTGTGTGGGGCTTGAGTTCTTACAAGAGTGATCAGTGACTACTCTGAACCTAAGACCCCTGTATTGTTGTAAAGTTTGTTTACATTGTGTGACATTTGTTGGCGGAAATAAATTGTTGATCACTCTTGAGAATTTTGGGAAAGATACAGCAGTCACATAATGGTTACAGTGTTGAATATTGGATCAAGTGGCCTGGCTTTGAGTCTTGACAAGTTGTGGCCAATTTACACAGTTGCAAAACATCTATACCCACCCTGTGAAATAATGTTTAGACTGTGACAAGTAGGTTGATATGTCAGTCCTTCCCAATACTTTTTATTGTTATTGAGTAGTAAAGCTTTAAGTTTATTTTCAATGAACAGCTGTTGAACCACTGAGTGTAATAACGCAATTTCTTGTAACAGAAAATAGAAAAGCTCCAAGCAAGCCTACATTTATTGGCAGATGAAGATAATAATTCCCATCCTCCAAACCAGCACATTGTTTTTGTGGACAGTCAGAAAGAAGGTACACATGTTCTGTATTTTATAACTTTATTGTATGGCTGGCTCCAAGAGCAGGCAATATCAAACCATTACCTTTACCTAATATTTGGTAAGTAGTGTAGCAGATAAGAGAACAGTATTCTTGATAGAGTGCTGGAAGATTTGACAATACTAAATTGTATCAGTTTAAATCAATCACAAATGTCATTCTTTGATACCCACTATCTATTTTGTATTAGTATAAATCTACTAGCGTTCTGTCACAAATGCCGTTCTCTGATTGGCTACGCCACTATCTTTTCTGTGATAGATGGTGAGTAGTGTAGCAGTGTGCCCTTGTTAACGAAATGACCACTGCTTCTTGGCATTTTTGAAGCGTCTGTGAAGAGGACGTAGATAAAGTTTTAAATGACTAGTAGATTTATACTAAAACAGTTAGACTGTCGAGGAAAAGGTTGTTGTTATTCATCGTGGTAGATGTAATAATAAAGTGTATTATCGTTTGTCTCACGATGTAGTCACTTGAGATGTAGATCG